GGTAGTGGTAGTGGTAGTGGTATTGGGACCGGGTTGTGGGTAGTGGGTAGTGGGTACTGGCACTGACACTGGCAGTGGCAGTGGCAGTGGTAGGTGGTAGGAGTAGCAGTAGCAGTAGCAGTAGTAGCAGCAGCAGCAGCAGCAGTAGCAGCAAAGTAACAGTGATAGTCGCGGCAGTGGCAGTAGCAGCAGGAACCATTATAGAAAAGTAATAGCAGCTGCAAAAAACAGTGAAGAAGCATGAACATCAAAAAGCCGTAACACAGATAAAGATTGTGATAAAAGTTTCAAGAACAGGATCAGTAGCAATAGAACCCTACAGAAACGGTAGAAACCAATACGGCACATCCCTGTCCACACACAGACACACTCCGACTCACTCGCTTATTGATTCTGCTTTATTTGCATAATAATGGCATAGCTCAAGTTCAAGAGCCCGAAATAAACCCTAAACCCTAAACCCCTAAAACCCTAAACTTAAACCCTAAACCCTAAACCCGAAAGACAGTACGATGCTGCCGCGAGATACCTTGGGAGCCGGCGGCCCCAGGCAGACTTTGTCCTGCCTGCACAAAGTTGTCGAGGTTGCTTGAGGGTTTGCTTGGAGGATCAGATTCTAAGTAGTTCATATTCTAAGAAAGTATAAATATAGTTCATACTGCAGGAACATATACGTATAGTTACTTCACTTATAACTTATAACCTTGCTTACGAAGTTCCATGATCCGCCAAGTAGGGTACTTTTGGAAGCGGGGTCTTCGGCAAGAGAGTTTAGGGCCAAGGGTTCCGGGGCGCGGGGTTCGGGCATGTTTGAGGCTTTTAGGGCTAGAGTTTAAGGAGGCGTTGAAGGTGCTTCTTGTCAAAAAATTAGGGTAGTTCTCCAAATTAAGGCCCCCTTTTTAAGTCCTTCTTATAAGGGTGCCGTACTATCTTGAGGGACCTAAAAAAGGGATCCTATTTTAGAGAACTGCCCATGTGGTTGAGTGGCGGGCACGCACTGACTCCCACACGGTAGCTTGGGCATGGGCTTCATCGCCAACGATGAGTGACCTGATGATGCCTTTAGATCGGAGGGTGGGTCGCATGGAGGGGTGCTCTCATGGACTACTTGCAGGACCAGGGATTTAGTACATAGGTTGCAGATATGCTAATAACCACCCCCGTGGGATGCGCAATACTTGCTACCTTATCTACAACCCCCTCCATCCTGACAGACTGCAGCCAAGGCGCACGAAGATACCCGTGATCTCACCAGTGCCGTAAGAAACGGTGATCTGATCTCGGGCCTGACTTGTAGGGCTTTGCAGTCACAGTGTCAGGCATACACTCCCATCAGCGCTTGCTAGGGCTGCTATGGGGGCCTTAATGATTAGAATAGGGTTTTGGGGTATATTATACTATAATGATAATAAGGAGCACCCCAAAACCTTATTCTAATTATTAAGGCCCCTATATTACCGTGCAGGTGCTCTTCCGTGGCCTGGTTTGGCATCACCAGCGAGCCGTCGACATCGATGTCTTTGGCGACCTCGGCAATGCGCAGGCTGCAGAAGCAACCAACCCTTCATGCTCAGCCCTGGTGCAGAAACAAGCGGATCCGAACCAATGGAAAACACTCTACACCGTCTGGCAAACAGGAGCTGGAACAACACAACACCGCAGAAATGCAACTCTTCTTCGCGCCCTTTGGAGCCGCGTTCCAGAACAAGCACAGAACGTGAGGTGAATACAGAATTGATCGGAGATGCTCTCTCCCCTCATTATGATGCTCGGACATGACGAAAGTGCTGTAAATACCGAGTAAAATGGACGTTGTCTTAACATGTCTTAGAGCAAGTGTAGTTGGTAGGGGGGGTACCTACTACTACTACTACTACTGCTACTACTACTACGCCTACTCCTACTCCTACTCCTACTCCTACTCCTACTCCTACTCCTACTCCTACTCCTACTCCTACTCCGACTCCGACTCCGACTCCGACTCCGACTCCGACTCCTACTGCTACTGCTACTGCTACTGCTGCTGCTGCTGCTGCTGCTGCTACTGCTACTGCTACTGCTACTGCTACTGCTACTGCTACTGCTACTGCTACTGCTGCCGTTACTATTACGACGACGACTACTACTACGACGACCACGACCACGACCATGACCACGACCACGACCACGACCACGACCACGACCACGGCAGCAGCAGCAGCAGCACCACCACCACCACCACTGCCACCACGGCCACGACCAGGAGCACCAGCACCGGCACCGGCACCAGGCACCAGGCACCAGGCACCCAGGCACCAGTCACCAGCACCAGGCACCAGCACCAGGCACCAGCACCAGGCACCAGGCACCAGCACCAGGCGCCAGCAGCAGCAGCAGCAGCAGCAGCAGCAGCAGCACCAGCACCACTGCCACCAGCACCACTGCCACCACCACCACGACCACGACCACTACGACTGCTACCCTTTCCCCCCTGATGCGACGGAGGTCGGTCGCGAAGCAAAAGAACAACAAGTTGCAGAGAATCTGAAGTTGAAATGCAACCCCAAACCCTCAAGCCTGCAGTTCAAGCGCAACCATACACCCTGAAATCTGAAGTTGCTTCCCCGAAGACGAAAGCTCTTCAGCAACGGACTTGAACCGTCAACTATCCAGCCACATACCCGTACAATCCCGAAGATTGGGGCCATGGATGCTCTGAAATCTCACTCAAAGCATTATTATGCTTGGGCCACGGATGCGGAGCAGGGCTGATTGAACAGCCGGCAATCAGACGCCGAGGGTGTGGGGAAAAAACGACGCAGTCAGGCGTCCATTATTCTGCAAGCAGATGCAAGCAGAACCAGCTCGGGCTTCGGGTCTCAGCAGCAACTTTAATGGCAATGCCTGGCAGATGTTGGAAGTATCACCCATCATTGTCGATTTTTATAGGCAGTTGCTGGACTTCTGAAGCGCTATCGCGCGTTTCACGGTATCCTAACGGTCGCAGAATGAATTTTGTTGGTGGATCGCATCTCTTCAAACCCTGGTCGTGGAATGTCGTGGACTGGTAATCGCTGCGGAGTCTCGGATGTTGAAGGCTAGGGACCCACCTGGTCCAGGCCCGGCCTTCTCCCAGACTCCATCGGACGCAACAATGACAGCACTCTGAGATGGAAGCCTTGGAAACGCGTCCCAGAATCGACTCCACGGCGACTCAAAGCGGCAGATTGACGGCGACAGAGATTCGAGCTGGAGGCACGTGCTGATCTCAGGCTCGGAGATGACGCCAACACCTCGTGCCTGGCGAGAATCGTCCGCTTAGCATCTAATGGTTTTTTGAACGCTGCGACAGGCAAAGTAGATTGCTGGGCCATGTCTCATGGACTGTGGAAGCGGAGACTCGCAGGAGGGCATCAAGTGCCCGTCTGCTTTCACACCACGAGGTTTGTCGGATAAAACTTGCTCGGCTTCCGAAGCTTGCTTTGGCATCTTTTGATTACATGGCTCATCTTTCGGCCGCACTGCTGTGAGCCTTCACTGTACACTGCTCACACCTACTAGGCGAGTCGCGGACGCGGTGGCAGCCTAGGCCTCAATCACTCCAAGAAGCCAAGCGCTGGCGTTCTGAGAAGTTAAGCTACTTTGTCCTGGCTGGCTGGGCTCACCTCAACCGATGCCAACCGGATGGGCCTTGCAAAAGATGTGACGGCGCCTGTAAAGTCTCGGCAGGATGTTGGTCCAACGCCAGGTTGAAGTCGGAGAGATCATCAAGAGTGCAGACCTCTTCATATGCCCACCGCGAGCGGTCTCGGGTAGGCTCAAACCAATGAGGCCAATGCCTGGCGACGCACCAAGCTCCAATAGTACCCTTGTTTGGCCAGAAGCTCCTGCCACGGAGAGGTAAAGACACAGCTGGTTCGAACCGGACTTGGGTAATCTCAAACTTGGATTGTCAGTGCGCCTTAGGAGAACCTCGCTCCACGATCTGCCCGTCCCTCATGCAGACGATGCTGTGGGCATTCCGGATGGTACCTGGTAGAAAGCTTTGGAAGACTTCTGCACATCATGCAGTTGCGTCGGGCACTAAGACGGTGTGCGATGACAAGTGTCGTTCGCCCGGACATGACGGTGTCCAGTGCGTCCTCCCAGCAAGCTGCGGGATCCAGCAACTTCTGCATTGCAAAAACCCTTGCACAATGCCTGCACAGCCCCCTCAGCTTCTGCATCGAGAGCACTCGTCGCCTCCAGTTGCACTGTTCAACTTGCTGCTCCATAGTGACATGCTACGAACCGATACCGGCAGAACGAAAAGCACCCAGCTTCGTCGAGCACCAGAATCTGAGGCTTCAGGATAACAGCCCTCGCAATGCTGAGCCGCTGCCTCCAAGCTGCGGTAGCTGCTCTGTCTCTTCCAGACTCTCTGGCTTAGGCTCGAACTTCTGACCACCGGACATGTGAGCCCCTTGGTCACCTGAGTTCTAAGACTCTGGGACACTTCGGATGCGGACGGCACCCGGAGAGAGAGCACAGCAAGTGTGAGAGGAAGCTGCTAGGCGAGAGGCATGCGAGACTTCAGCTGAGGGCCGAGGGTGCGGATGGGTGCGGGGCTTGAATGTTCTAGGGATCAAAGTGGGCCTTCGTGAGGATTGCTTAGCAATGCGCACGTATTGCCTGGCGGCGGCCGGCCGGGCTTGAAGACTGTTCATTAGCACAACTGGAACTGACCAGATTCCAACTTGAGCTGGAGACCAACATAGGTGTCGTAGCCAGCTGGAAATCCGAGGATAAAATCATGCGCGGACGCCATGCGAGCAGCTGCCTGCAACTAAATACTGCCGCATGCACGGATGGTAATCAAGAAATATCGGCCTCAATCTCTTCGTCAAGTACATCCCTGCGACCGCGTGTCGGGACAATGTGACATGGCGGCAAGTAAGTGTCCATCTGTTGCGGGACAGGCGTTGCAAACAGTGGAAAGAGAGCCCTTGTGCCAGCCATCCCGCTCGACAGCCTCTCCCCCCCACTTCAATCAACTCACCGCACCAAGAGGGGGACCCTAGCGGCCCTAACGGAAATAGGTGGGCCACCTACAACCGGTGTGGGAGGGAGCTCTGAAGCACGGTGCGACGTCCTACTTGTAAACAAGTTTCAGTTGTGCAATGAACCTTTTCATCGCTGACTTATAGTCTTCCACAGAGTCTTTTCTAGTCATGTGTGCATGGAGGCAAAGGGAGGCGCCCCACCGTCTATGTGGCCACACTGCTACACAAGTCCCGCAATCCCGCCCCTGCATCCACTTATTTCCGGGCATTTGGTAGTGGTAGTGGTAGTGTACTACATGTAGGCTCATATACCTATATGCATTCTATACCCGATATATGTAAGTCTTGTAGACATGAACCCTCGTTGGGCTGCACAAGCATATGGAGTCTCGCGCAACCGCAATAGGTCAACACGGTTGCCTATTGAAACTGGTCTATAGGATTCTATAGGAGGTCTTTAAAGACAGGGAATGCGCACAATCTCATAGGAACACACCCTCTATCGGGCTTACCGAGAGCCCAAACCTTCACTCCTCTTGGGCTGCTGGTGTTCCTTAAGTGTAAGTCTGCACGCCTTCGGCAACCATAGGTAAGATTATTTCGGATGCTCGTGTCGAAGAGCAGGGGCTGCTGGGCAACCTCGCAGGACGACGAACAGCCACGCTTGTGTGCCACGACATGACATGGAGCCAAAGAGATATCAGAGGTTCTTACCAGCTTGATGCCGCTAATGAAGCCCGGTGGCCAACGCCATTTGCGAGTGCAATGCACTTGTATTCCAATCGCAAAGCTTCACCTTGTCAACCGAGATCTCGCCAACCTGCACAATTCTTCTGTCAATCAACCCAACACCTGATGCACGAAGCTAAGTCAGGCCCTCACGAGAGGATCGTAATGCCGAAATAGAAGGCTTGCGATTGTACTTTTCCCGCTGCCAGATGCGCCAACCTTGCTTGGAAACATCTGGCGTGCAGCGCTTCACATAGGTCTCGCTGGTCCATGGGCAAGACTAGCGCAGTCATCTGACCACGGGCCATTTCAAAGCTCACCCCCCTGGCACGAACAAGTCGTACACTGCTGCGGCATGCTGATGCGACCTTGCTGTTCACCTCAGAACTTGAACGTCCGGGCGTGCTGGATAGGCGAACCTCCAGACATGAGAAACAGTGTGACATGCACACTGTGATGCCGGCTGCAGTTACGAGTTCAACGAAAAGCACTGTCTTCTAGGCCCACCGTGCAGGATAACGGTGCTCCGCATATGATACTGCATGTAAGCTCTGTTCCTCTTTTGTCTATGCAACATTGCGCGGCAAAAAAGGCGGTGAGGTGCGGATGTTGATGATTTTGCTGACTGTTTACAAGGATGATGCTAATTGTGCTTTGTGACCTTTTGGTGACAAATCCGTTGGCGGCGGTGCGGTAGACGGTGATCGTGACTGTAGGTACAGCGACTGCTGTGATATTGTGAATAGCGTCATGCTTCTCATCCTGGTTTATCTTCTCTCATTCTTTCAAATCCATATATTGGCTTCAGAATCGAATCTTCGTCGCTGCTTTCCTTTAATCCTTGCCTCGCCAGTTGTCTTCAATGTTACCTACCTTACTTCTTTCCTTTGTTCCTTGTGTCCTTCCTTTCTTACTTGCGTTTGTCCGTCTTGAAATTCTGAAAACAAGCGCTTCCAAGAGGCAAGCTACAAAATTCCACGCGCCAAAGTGCGTTTAAAGGCACAAAAGGCTGTGTTCTCCGAAGCCGTGTACCCCCTCCCCGCATCTTTCATTCTGCAACTCACGGTCGAAGACGTCTTTTGTCTTCGCAACTGTGGCTTGGGATCCATGCGGATTGCATCGCTGTCGTCTCTCTTGCTTTCTGTGGATCAGAGAAGGCAACAGTCCCATCCTCCTGCGCGTACACCCCCGATACAGGCTTTGCCGCGTCTGTGTGAGACTGTCTTTGCAAGTGCCGCCCACCCAGCAGTTAACTGAGTATCAAATACTGAGCACTTCTTAGCACTGGACCTTCTGTTGAACCACACCCACCGGACGCTGACTCTGTGCCGCCTGAGGTTGAACAAACCCGAACCTTGCACCACGCCTCAAGACACGCCGTACTACTGTTGACGAGCCGATCTTCCCGCCTCCCTCCCTTCCTTCCTTCCTTCCAACCTGTTTGGGGAAGAGCCCAAGCCCGACCCTGCTGCAAGTGACCCCAAAAATCACCACGATGCCGTGCTCTCCGCTCCGACTCCCTTCTGAAGCGTCGTTGAATCTTGCATATCGGCTCCGAGATCGCTAGCTGGCCCAGTTCGAGTCTGGAGTACACTTCCTGTGAGCTGCATTGTTTTCCTAGCATGCTCGGGGCTGCTGCTAGTTGTTCAGTTCGGGGTTGATATGTTGCGAGGTCTGAGGAAGGAGCCAGGCAAAAGCAAACACCGAGACCAGCACTCCACTTCTCGGAACTCGATGTCTCCGCCAACCTGTTCATTTCGGAAGTCCGTTGGCTCGGGGAACTGCAAAATGTCAGGAGTGCTGGCCTCAGCCGTGTGCATCCCTGAGACAACTTGAGGCGTACGATCCATGAACTCGAAATGATCCAAGAGAAGGTCGTGACCTGGCTCAAAATGAGGCAGGAGCCCTTCCTGGAGTGGTCGTAATTCTCTTCAAGCAGTACTTTGCATGGTCAACGAACCAAGACACACCAGATGTTCAATGCTACATCGCTGCATGCTCACTCTCGTCATCTCTCGTCCACATAGTTGTGAGTGTGCTGTCTGACCCCTTATTACATCATATGTGGGTGTTCTGAACTGCTCCATTGCCGTGACGATGCAAAGCTGTTCCGCAGATGTCGAGGTTCCCTTCGATCTGAGTCGAAAGAACGATTAAAAGGGTGGCGAGGCAGCAATTCAAAAGTGGCAGTCGCGCCGAGACGCTGCCCGGTCGACTGCCAGCGAAAATTCCTACCCGCACACGTGAGCTACACAACAAGCGTTGCGCCAACGACGTGTTAGCGAAAATCTACTTAAGTGCAGTGGCCCCTTTTTGGTCGAAGCGCGAACTGCGCGCACCGCCCTGTAAACCGGTGTCGGTGCGCACTTCTGCGTCCGCCCGGCGCACCCAACCCCCCAAGGCGCCGGCACTTGTACCAACTTCTCGGGCAAGCGAAGCGCCAGGTAGCCATCCAAGCCGCCGTCTCTCATCGTCGAGGTCATCGTTGTGGGGCGGACAAACTGGAAGGCCTTCAATGACGATGCAGTGGACGCTGATGCCATAGCCTCCTCTGCTCTCGCGGGTCGTGCCTGCCTAGCCGAAGGCGTCTCCGGTGGCACTTTGGCAATGGACCTGTGCACGCGACGGCCTGGTGCTCGCCGCTCTTCTTGGCAATCACGAAATACAGTCCTCGACTTGCCCGGCATTCCACCGCCGCTCTTGCTTTGGGTCTGGCTTTTGCCGCCCTTGGACATAGTCGACGACAATGCCATGGAAGGCGGTCCTCGGTCCTTGCTCTAACAGGCCGCATCGCCGGCCCAATGGCCAGCACAACATCCTTGCCTTGAGCGCGTGGGAGCCTCCGCCGGAGGCGGGAGCATCCACCAGCATGGAAATCGCCGAAGGGACCGGTGACGATTGTTCACTGCAGCCCAGCCGGCGCCAGGAAAACGGCGGCCATGTCGTTGGTGGCCGCGGCGGCAGGGCAGCGGCGGTGGTGGTGGCGGAGGTAGAGAAGTGCCCGACGAAGCCATGCATGTCCAGGCAAGAGAGGCGAAAGGTGGGGAGAGCACTCAAAAGTAACAGTCGAGCCGAGACGCTGCCCGGTCAACTGCCAGCGCTTGTTCCTACTCGCACATGTGCGCTAAGCGGCAAAATGCCACAAGCTGCTAGCCACTTGTACAAATTTTTCTACGTCTGTCCTTCCTGAGTGCGCTGCGCCACTGGAGCTCCCAAAATTGGTGGCGCACCCGCTGCACCAAGCCGCCCACCTGGAATCGTAGAGACGTTCCACTCAAAACATGTTTGCCAGCTTTCTTACCAGTTGGCTTCTGCTGACGCACCTGCTGGATCAGAAGCAAGTACGCCGTCATGTCGCCAGCGGAGAAATCTCGCCTAGCTCGACCAAGCCGAACTTGCCCAGCAAGCAATGCATCCAAGGTCTAGTCAGTTCTGAGGCTGAAGCTCCATCCATACAAGGCCGCACCAGAGACAAAAACAGTAGACTGCACGCTGCGTAATGTCTGGAAGCAGGTGGGCGATTCCTCAGCTTGGTCGCAGGACCATGCGGAACCCTTGGCTCAAACTTGCCGCGCTTTCCGTGCCATAGCCCTCCAATACTCTCTGATTGAAATGTGGTGTCTTTGAGGCTCAAAAACGCTGAGGTCTGGACCGTGCCTCACTCCACGGAGCCTAGACAATAAAGGACCTCCATTTGGGGAGGCTTCCTGCACCAGTGCCATACTTTGAAGACCACCAATCATCGAGGCATCCAGGGCCTTCATGGCATCCTTCGCCGCAAGCGATACCAGAGCAACGTGTTTGTCCTGCAAGGCAAGGTTTGCTCGCAAGGAACACGTCTCATATCTCGCTTCAGTTGGGTGGACAATGTGTGCCTCTCCGCTGAAGCACTTGACCGTCCTCATGTTGACGGCGTGATGCTCTTGAAGTCATGTTCTGCAGTTCCCAGCACTTGCCAAGCTGCGAACTTGATCATGTAGACAGCTTCATGCACGACATAAGACCTTATTCTGAGGTGCAATATTTGCAGCCCCAATGACGTCTGCACAAACGGGACGACAGATGAACTCTCTGTGCTTTGGGCCCTCTGCTGTTCACTTGGGGACGGTGCGACACGGCATGCAAGCCGTCTTCACGGCGAAGCTGCGCACGAAGACTTCGTTCCCAGAACCTGTGTCCACCTAGAATTTAATTCAATCAGGGACTGCCCACGAATGCTGGACCTTCGCATGATCTGCTCCATCATGGGCAGGAGCACAGTATAGGCCAACCTGGTTGCTGATATACTAATGGAAAGAACTCTGAGCAGCGACACTGCTACACAATGCGCAGTATGACACTTTGTGCATGAAACTTTTTGGCGGCAATTTGCTCGCGACAAAAACCTTCGCCCTGCAAAGCAAGCCTTTCGCGCTCTTTGACCTTCAATGGTGGCCTTTGGTGGAGGGCACACGCGAGCTGTTTTTGATGTGGGGGGGAGGGGATGATTGTGTTATTGGTGGTTTGGTGAGCGGGGGAGACCACCCTTGTCATTTTGTTTGTGGGTGAAGAAGTGCAAAACGACGAGAACGCAACCATCGTCTGTTCGCAATGGGCAGAAGCCACCCAGTGGGGAGGTAGAGGGGGGATCCTATCCCGTTGTGACTATTTCCGAGGGGAAAACAGGATTGGGAGCTTGATATGGGCTTGGTAGCGGCTTGATCGCGCCATAATGGCAGGCTCAATTTCGGCATTGGGCCATAGTAGTGATTCTCATCATGAAACAACTTCTCATTCCATGATTCTTATATCCGGTGAGAGTAGCAGCCTAAGAGGGGTTGAACAAGGACAAGAAGGCCGAAGGGGGGGTTTGCAAAAACACAGTAACAACAATAACACTAGTCATCATCATCATCATCATCATGACAATCAACGCGAAGTAGTTTCCCGTTCCATTACTGTCTTTCTTTCCGGTGAGGGGAGGAGCGACGGGGAGCGGTATGATGACTATCAAAGGGAATTTTAAGGGCAGCAGAGGGGTAGATAAGATATTTTGGACCCATATCAGACCTCATCATGTCCTTTAGGGGTATGAAGGGCCCCTACCCTCTAAGGTTCCTTGTGATACTGCTTGGTGCCCGAAGCATGAAATGGTTACCCATTCCAGTCTTCTTATTGCCCGGCACAATAGCACGAGGGAGAAACCGGGGGGAAAGACACATGATAATGACGTGGTTTCTACTCTGGTTTCCGGTGAAGGTAAGGAGGCGCGGGGAGAAGGGCACCAGTGTTGCTATTGTTAATAATAACACTAATAATATTAATACGATTATAATTAGCGATGGTAGTAGTGATGGTAACAGCAGCAGCAGTGGCAGTCGCAGCGACAGCACGCGCAGAAGCAGTAGTCTAGTAGTCGTCGTCGTCGTAGTGGTGGCGGCAGTACAGCAGTAGTAGCAGCAGCAGCAGCAGTAGCAGTAGTAGTAGCAGTAGTAGTAGTAAAGTAGTAGTAGTAGTAGTAGGTAGTAGGTAGTAGGTAGTAGGTAGTAGGTAGTAGGTAGTAGGAGTAGTAGTAGTAGTAGTAGTAGTAGTAGTAGTATCGATAGTAGTATC